TCGCCCCTTCCCACCCGAGTCATTGCGAGACTCGCTCCTTCCCACCCGAGTCATTGCGAGACTCCCTCCTTCCCACCCGAGTCACCGCTAGACTCGCTCCTTCCCACCCGAGTCACCGCGAGACTCGCTCCTTCCTACCCGAGTCACCGCGAGACTCGCTCCTTCCCACCCGAGTCACCGCGAGACTCGCTCCTTCCTACCCGAGTCACCGCGAGACTCGCTCCTTCCCACCCGAGTCACCGCGAGACTCGCTCCTTCCTACCCGAGTCACCGCGAGACTCGCTCCTTCCCACCCGAGTCATTGCGAGACTCGCTCCTTCCCACCCGAGTCATTGCGAGACTCGCTCCTTCCCACCCGAGTCACCGTGAGTCTCGCTCCTTCCCACCCGAGTCATTGCGAGACTCGCTCCTTCCCACCCGAGTCACCGTGAGTCTCGCGTCTCCAAACCCGAGTGACGACCTCACGTTCACCTGGGGTCTCGCCGGTCACGTTCTAAGACACCCGCCACTATCCCGAACCTTTATTTTTAGCTCCCTATGAGTTTCCGTGAAGCAACTAACAACGAAATCTAGGTACACGGAACGAGTACAGAATAGTAGAGAGAAGAGCAGCGGATGACAAACGAGGTCAGTTAACACGCTCCCCACGGATCCACGAGTCAGCTCGTGGGAACAATCAAAAACGCATCCTTGCGGATCCACAAGTCAAGCTCGTGGGAACAATCAAAAACGCATCCTTGCGGATCCACAAGTCAAGCTCGTGAATAGATTATTGGTTTTTGTTACTTTGATTTCCAACAGATGGCAGGCACTACCTACCTAGAAATTAAACAGGGACAGTATATATTACTCCAGTCTTACATGAACTAAAGAATACATTGCTTTACCGTTGATTCGAACGTGAAATTAGGAGTTTTGAGACTCAAGTTAGACTGCGGTAGGCCTAGAAGGCGTAGATCGAAACAAGGTTTGTTTACCGTTTTCCTAACGGTATATAATATAATAAATTAACGGTGTAGTATATAAAATTTCAGGAATTTTTGCATGTAGAAACACAAAACAAGGTTCATACCTAACATATGTGTAAGCGTTGTCACATTTCTTATCGGGAAAAATAGTATACTGTCGACTGATATCATAACAAACTCGCGAAAATCAACCGGTGCGGTGGCATTTGAGACGAAACTGCACGAAATGTCCGTTTTTGCCCTGTTTTCATATCAATATATTATTATAAAGGGGAACGATTTTCATACTATTTGAACGTGTAAGGGTGAGATAACACTCATGCAGAGTAAATGTGTCAGTTTGGTTAGCTTTCCTGCAAAAGAAATGTGGTAAATCAACAAGTGAATACGCGGTATAAACGCGACAATCCCAGCGCAGGACGGTAGGTGCATTTTGGCGGCACGTAGGCGGCCGCAACGTAGGCGGCAGCGTTGAACGTGTTAAGATGACCGTTAAGACAATCCACGAATAATCGCGATCATGATCATACGTTAGTTTCTTACGCACGCTCACCCAAGCCGACGCGGAGAGTGAGCGTCGTCGATTCACGAGGTTTTGTTCGGGTACGTGTTGCAGAGCAAGGACAGCGACAACGTGGAGAGTGGCTCCCCCTACAGGCAGACGATCGGTCAGCAGGTTCGCGCGACGCCGATGTCGACGTACGGATACAGGTTTCAGGACAGCACCGTGCCGTTCCCTCGCACGTCCGGGGCAAGATTCTCTAAATACGGTGAGGGATCTCTCTCTCTCTCTCTCTCTCTCTCTCTCTCTCTCTCTCTCTCTCTCTCTGTCTCTCTCACGCTCTCTCTCTCTCTCTT